TCTCTCTCTCTCTCTCTCTCTCTCTCTCTCTCTCTCTCTCTCTCTCTTTTTCCTTTACCGACGGCCGGTTCACTATTGGTGGATTGAGGCTCACTGCTCGGTTACGGAACGCATCCGTCGAGTCCTATCTAGGCGCTCATTCTGGAGTACGTCCCGTAACCGATCGTGAGCGCTCATCCTCCAATTTTAATATTTCTGATCTAAACCAGTAAGAAAAAGAGCCCGTGGCTTAATGGGTTAGAGCGTTGGACTTCTAATCAATAAAACGCGGGTTATAACGTCGGGTAGTGCTCCACGTGTGGTCGGGTATGACTGGCTTATGATGACTAATAAGTCAGAAATGACCACTTCAGCCTCCGCTGTCATTGTGAGTAAGCTTGTTCGGTCGGCTTACTGAAAAATACGATAAGAATAACAGCAACCATAGTTCCATTGCTATAGGCATTTGCTTTTATGCACACTTTGCACTACTTTGCTCTTTATATAGTGGTTTTTACTCCTCTGTGTTTTTTGAACTACCAAAATGAGGCCATTTGCACACGACGCTAGTACCGCTTTGAATGATGTAACATCTTGCATAAATGTTGTGACCCATTCAATGAAGGTTCTTCGTGCTATCGATGGTTGCCTTTTTTACAATTATGTAGCGTTGTTATCCTCCAGTGTTACCTGTTTTGCGTACCCATTTTTTATCACGGAGAATGGAACATCTTTTACTAACATAATTAAAATGATACTTTCAAAATAAAACATACCTCTATCTCACTTATTGCGATTACTCATACATCCATTGTGTTTTTGCAAATGCATCGGCCTTAAGTTCAGGTCCAGTGTCCGTATGACAAATTTACAACTATAAGTAGTAAATAATTCGCACGACACGGAGAATAGAGGGATTAACGTGCACTCGAACACTTAAGTGTACTTTTTGAACGTGAATAACAGTTTTGCACGATGAAATAATGAACTTTTCGTGCAGAGACCTCGCACTCAGTACTATTAAGGTCGACTTAAAACGGAGACGATCTGCTGCGCCCCAGCATCAACTCTACGGTCAGCGTCCTTGCGGGTATATACTCAGTAACCTCGTCATTCATCAAGAAGGTCGTAAAGGTCTCTATCGAGGTAGCTAGCTCGCTTGCAGGTTTCAGGATAATATAGCGAACCCCGGTTCCCTGACGTGTATTTAATCAAGAGTATCAGAAATGCAAACGCAAGTGCATGCTCAAACATGAGAAGTTGCGATCTTATTGACGTCATGCTGAGCAAAGTAAATACGGTGGACGGGCAGTCCAACAATTCTAAATTAAACATTATGGTTACCTATGCTGAGTGTGCCTTCTTCGGTTGGGTTACAGGGCTCGCTCGTCCCTTTTTGCCTTGAGGCTCAATGTAGAGCCCTCGCAGGCAGTCGGAATGGCTACTTCCGGCTCTATATGGAGGCTGAAGACGCAATGAGACGAGTAAATGTTGTAAATCGATCGGTGTGCGCACTTCCAACGCAGTGAGCATTCCCAATCGCAACCGACAGGACAGCCGACCCTTGAGTCACTGGTAGAACGTTGCGTTTATTAACGCCAGACTACCAAAAAACGCGGTTTCGCGGCTCAAATCCGACAAACCAGCCTGAGTTTGGGTAGGGCTGGCTGCCAAGGGCTAATAATCACGCCGGCCATCAAGCAACTAACTCAAAAGCTGGCAACTATCCCCGATGGGGGAGAATTGTCAAAGGTAAGCAGTAGCATAGCGACTCTATGCCATATATAGTGCAACTCCCTGTGTATGAATGACTCGTTTCTGCGATTTTTTCTGAGGATGGATCCGCGACGGAATCCGAAACGACGGGCAAATAAAGTTCTTGTCCCAGCGATTGCAGCTGCTTGTTATTAAGCAAGAAATGGTTATCCCCGTCTCTGCTGTCTTCGTCAATATTCTATTTCCTATGAGTATATCTGCCGATTTCAGGTTACGTCGGAAGGAAGTATACGAGGGTCCTCAAGAGCTCTAGATATGTCGTTTACCACGACTACTGGTTCAGCACATAAACCATGAAAGACAATTAACCACGGAAGCAAATTAAAGAGATGAAAAACAAATCGAAAAACCTAAAATTTACAGATTAGAAAAGGCCTGCCAGAATCCAGAAGTATCCAGTTATCAGGGGTTATGAGACATGTTGAAAACGTCACAGTCAGACAGGGCTGTTTCAAATGAGGCATATATCGACGGGGTGGTGATATTGAGGTGAGTCCATAATCAAAACAAGATCCAATTGAAAATGTTCGTTTGTATCAAACGGATAATAAAACAACGGAGATTTAACAATCAACATTCTACGGCCTCTCACCAGCTAATAAGGGCTCCTAAAAAAGCAACGAATATGCCAACTCCTAAAAGGCCTCCACCTGAGAGATTATAGGGAGGCAGACGCCTTACTAGTAGCGTAATACCACCAAATCATTCCAAAAAGCAGCAAGGGAGGTGCCTATAAAAAATAACCTAGCAAGGGCCTGTGCGCAGCTAGCAAGTAATAAAAACCTATGGGTAAAAAGAAACAAAATATTGATAATGGTTGTAGATTTAAAGCCTACCTGGAGACCAGCAAAGTGAACCTCGACTTTGCATAAGAACTTTGCCGTTGAAATCCAGCGCAGGGATCGAGAACTGTTCGAAGAACATGATGTGTTCGCGGCTATATCCGAAGAAGTTGTGCTCTTCAAAGTAAGCCTGGGTCATCTGCTTGGTCTGGTCAGACGTCATTATATACCTGATTTCAGAGAACATATGTTTTAGTGGGCACGGCGGGCATGTTAATAGATATAGATATGTTTTTTGCGACGAGTGACAAACGTTGTGCTCGGAAAGTAGGTTAGAGACTAAAAACCGGTTTTTTCAAAAAATGTAATAAGTACTGACCGTTTCACTGCAAAAATACTTGGTAAGAAACTATCCTACCTTTGAGGCTTTCCAGGATATTGGCATTGAAAACGAAGGAGAAAGTAGTGCTTAGGTAGGTAAGTTTGCTAATAACATCCCGTTGGAAGAGGTTCTGAGCGTTTAGGTCCTATCAGTTACAAATAAGAAATCTTTCTAATTTGAAAAAATATTTAAGGTTTTTCATCAAGTCAGCATCAGACTTGACACACTGTATGAAATAAGTGCAGTAGAAATTGCACATAACAGTCGTTTAGAGGGGAATTCTTCAGGAACTGAATATAAAATTAAGGCCCAGTCCATTAAGGCAGAACCGACCGAGCATAGAATAGGGACAAAATGGACGCAGTGGCTAAGACCTAATGACGTTCAAAGTATACCTAAGTGACTTCTTCAACTATATAAGGCAGAGGTATAAGGACGCCCTCCAGCCCTCGATGACGAGTTAAGGACAATGTCTGAAGCTAACTGCAAGCTTGCAGTTTGACCGGTCGTTTGGAAAAACGGGTCAACTTGTAACCCAAAAACCGGCTAATTTATGAAAATCTTAATCGTTCAGCGTAATGGTTTCATACCAATTAAACCCAAAGTAAAGAATGTAGTCCAGGTTACTGATGCTCTTCCGTGTACGTCGCCCATAACGGCTTTGTGTAATCTGGTGAGACGCTGACGCCACTCAGTCGCTTTCAAACGATCTAAGAAATTAACCAAGAGTTGTCAGTAAAAGAACTGCCAGTGGTGAGTGGGAAAGGGTGTAATTCTTTCCAGGAGAAGTCCCAGTCGCATGTTTTCTACCTTACTGCCCATAAGCTGGAGTATCTTGCCTATTGGCCTCTGTCCAATTCGGCGAAATAACCGAATCTGTTTCCTTAGGATTAATTTGTAAGCCTTTGGTCCCCTTGTTGGAAAAAAAGAAACCTTTCTAGGAAAACTTCCGTCAAAATGACTTCGAAGATCTGATAATTGTTCAAACTGACATAAACAGGCTTTTATTAATGTTTGCAAATGGATCTTGATTCCTAAGCCACCTGTTTAAGCAAAGTTCTGTTGGTTCCAATTTTATCGTCAAAATCAGCCATTCCATAGAACTGACAACCTAATACATTTGGAGGCTGCTGAATAAAAAGAAACAAGTGGCAGACGATGAAGTACTTCCAGTATGTTCACTACTTTTCGCTGTATTTAATTCCTCCAAAAAAACTGGAAAAGGGAAATAACAGGAGGTTGATTGTCAACTAGCTCACAAGACAAACAGAACGACGGAGAAACATGGATCGCCTTTACTTTATTCTCTGCTTCTCTAGTGAATAAAACTGAGGTTGCCTGTGTAATAAACACTCCCGTAGCTATCACCGCTCAAAATAGCAATGCCCCCGCAAACAGGCGGAAGCTTTATAAACAGCGAATAGGGTAGGACTGGTCGCGAAATAACACGTGCTTCAGAGTAGTCAATAGCTTCAGACGTTCTGATGAGTCATAAAATGCGCAGGGAAAAGAAATGATGTCGGTCCGCCTTTTCAGCCCAAAGAGGTCAAAACATTTTGAACGCCTGATACAAGTAGCATAACGTTGACGGCTGCGTTGTCGTTATGTGCAATTCCTTATGCGAAAAATCAACGCATTTAGGGAAAGCGTTTGTTTCGGAGGCACTCAGTTAGGAGAACAAGGGTTATTTGCTTATTTACTCATTCTGTCTCTTTGTAAGACGTTAAGTAGATTGTGCAACGTATAAAAATACCAATGGAAGTACACGCGTAAAAAATCCGAACGCAAAAATACTGAACTTAAGTTATGCGACGGTTGCGTTAATAAAGCAGGACCACGTTGTTGATTTGCGAACATATCAGAGTTTCGAGAATGATCAGGCTTTGATTACCAGCATATCACATTTTGAAGGGGTCCAGGTGATCAAATAGTGCTCAGAAACAAATAACAGCGACAATTCTAGTCGGTGAAACCTTAAAAAACATCACTATACACATTACTTTAATCCATGAAAATGATTGTAAGCAGAAGACGGGTGAGGTTGACTTGTCCCATAGCAACGCTGGT